GTCCAAGGCCAGGCTGGATGAGGCTTGGAGCAACCTGGTCTAGTGGAAGGGGTCCCTGCCCATGGCAGGGGGGGGGGAACTGGATGATCTTTAAGGTCCCTTCCAACCCAAACCGTTCTATGGTTCTGTGATCCCATACATGTGCCTTGCAGTGCCAGGCCGTTTGTACAGCTCCCCCTTGGGCACCTCCGAGTTCACCTGTAAGTACTCTTCCAGGTAAGACGGGGCATCCACATCCAGTCATGAGGAACGACCCTTCTGCCTGTGGATGTGGCCTCAGGGGCAGCGGAGCCAGAGGAAGTCTTTCTCACACAGCAGGCCCAGGGAAAAGCAGAGACTGGAGAGACTCCAGTGGGGCATCAGCTGTGTTTTGTGATCCTCAGCCCCCTGAGATAACTTTATTTTCTAGCAAAGTCACATTTCTAGTAGACTGGTTTGGAAGCATTCTGACCAAGTCCTGCTGATGTCTCAGCTGAGGTGGTAGGATGGTATATGTGTGGGTACTGGGGTCGGAAGAAGAAGCACTTAGCTTGGGAAGGCAGAACAGCAGTGTGCTGCGCTGACAGATACCTGATTCGTCAACTTTTAGAGTGGCTGAGCCTTGCAGAGATGCTAGGAGATTGAACCGTAGCATGTTATTAAGATCAGCTAAAAATTGTCATTTAATGGTTTTGTTCTGCACGTGATAAAATTTAAGATTCCAGCATTTTGGGTTAATGAAGTTTCTTAGACTCTTCAGTTCGGAAGCAGAGCCCAGCTCTACCAATAAACCTGCTTTCCTGCCTACTGGTGTTCTGGCTTCGAAAGTACACGTGCTAAACTGGCTTTTCCTGCTCTTTCAGACCCTTAAAAATGGGGAACACAAGCAGCGAGCGAGCTGGACTGGAGCGTCATGGCCATAAGGCATCCCGAGGTGACAACTCAGGGGGAGCCATCAGTCCGAAAGAGGGTGATCGACCAAAAATTCTGATGGACAGTCCCGAAGATGCAGACTTGTTCCATTCAGAGGAAATGAAGGTATTGCTGGATTGTTCTTGCCTTCTACCTTGGGAATGCTGTCCAGTTGTGCTGTTAGCAGCCTTCGGTAACTGTCATTGAGTTGACACACCAAACCGACCGTCTCCCTTGCCCCCCGCGCTAAGGGGAGGTGTCGCAGTGATGCTCAAGCAGATATAACGGGTGTAACGTCACGGTTTCCAACAAGAATTCATGACAAAAACTAAAATGACACTGGTACAAGGAACTTCCCCAGCTCTAGGTACAGTGCCCGGGCTTCCTTCGGATCATTAGTACTCTTGCAGTCACCAGTGACATTTTACTTGTCCGTCATCTTCCATATGACAAGATCTGTTAACTGGATCGTTGCTCGGTGTCAGGTGGATGGTTGGAAGTGTTCTGCTGTGTACTGTGTTTCTCTCGTTAGACTATCTAGCAGAAAATTGCACTTAGATTTTGACTGTTGGACAGAGTTGTTTGCAACAGGCAACCTGTAGCTGTTTGCTACAGCCAACTACAAATCTTGTGCTAACGGTGGTTGTATAATCTAAGTGCTTCTTAAGTGTACTTCCTAATCCCTCTTTTTACATCTGTGTGTTTTGAAAACCCTTGTGAGCTCAGGTAACCTATTTTTAACCCATTTTAGGCTGGAGGGAGGGGGCATTTTGCCTTTCACTCTGCAGATTTGGAAGGCTTTTTAACATCTTTGCAGAATTTGTGCAAAAGAATTCGGGAACAGCGTCTGGAAATGCAGTTTCTAGTCTCCGTCTGACCAAAACTGCTGGAAGGCCTGTACCTTAGAGAATCGTGTCTAAGGGCAAAAATGCCTTCAGTAAACACAGGTTGTCTAAGTCTGCCAGGAAAGAATTCCTTTTGATTAAGATACTGTGCTTGTAGGCTCCGTTGGAGAAAGAAGAATTCCTAGCTTGGCAACAAGATCTGGAAGTGAATGATAAAACCCCCACTCAGGCTCGACCCACTGTCTTTCGATGGACTGGAGGAGGGGAAGAGGGTTATTTGTCTGGGTCCTTCAACAACTGGAGTAAAATTCCTCTGACAAGGAGGTAATAAACTGCTGCTGCTTTATTGGTGATATTCCCTGTGGACCGGGAATGCTTAGTGCAGTGAGGAAGGTGGTCAGTTCATAGACTGCTATTGTGCTTGGACTTACTGCTTTTCTCCTCTTTTCTCGAGCTCTTGATGAGAATCTGACTTTGATCCTTGGGTGGCACAGGGTGAAAGTTGGGCTGTGTCATGGAATCATAGAATCACAGAATGGTTAGGGTTGGAAGGGACCTTAAAGATCATCCAGTTCCAACCCCCCTGCCATGGGCAGGGACGCCTTCCCCTAGACCAGGTTGCTCCAAGCCTCATCCAGCCTGGCCTTGGACACTTCCAGGGATGGGGCATCCACAGCTTCTCTGGGCAACCTGTTCCAGTGCTTCACCACCCTCTCCGGGAAGAACTTCTTCCTGATATGTAATCTAAACCTCTCCACTTTCAATTTAAACCTGTCCAGCTCTGCGATGGCATGCATGCGCTCCTTACCTGAGAAGAAGGGAGATGCCGGCGCTGTGTGGCCTGTTGGAGTGGCTCCCGTGGTGTCAGCTGTTTCTCAGCTTCTCTGAGATGCTGATCAAGTTTTCTGAAGGACTGGGAAGTTCACAGGACAGGAGTATCACAGTTACCGCGCCGTAGCTGTTCAGGCCCAAAGTAGCTCAGAAGCGCTGGGTTGGTGCTTTCATCTTCTGGGCCTTGTTCATCCGTTTCACAGGCGGGTGTGAAAGACAGTTTATGATGGCAGGTACGGAAAGGCATGGAAACAGGAGGAAGCTGGTCTTGTTCCATCGCCAGGCACCTCGCAGATGAGATGAGGTCTCCCTAACAAGTAACGTGAAGATGTGAGGGTGACTTTACATAAGCTCAGTGCCAATTCTTTGATGCCTGAAATGTAGATACTGATTTTGAATGTGCTGGGACTTACTGTCACATAATAAATGCTCGTTAACATTAACCTTAGTTTGATCCTTTAGCTTACAGCAAAGATTCTCTTAAACGTGGCGTTGCCTTTTCAAGTTCTCGCGTGCCACAGAGGCTTGTGTCCCGCGTTATGGTGTTTGTCACAGTTTACTTCTCAGAATATTTCAGGGATGACTGTTTGTCTCTAATTCCAGTCACAATAACTTCGTGGCAATCCTGGACCTGCCGGAAGGAGAGCACCAGTACAAGTTCTTTGTGGATGGGCAGTGGACGCACGATCCTTCGGAGGTAACGTGTTCTTCGACTCGCTGTGGGTGTTCATTGAGGCACTGGAAGAGGAGAAGGTGGCGGGTGTCTCTGTGTGTGGCTGCCCTTTCAGAGAGAAGGTATTTATTGGTTAACAACAGCAACGGGCTGTTGAAGCTGGTGAGAGAGATCTCTCTGATCCCAGCTGGCCTAGGTGGTGGCATCGGACTGATGGCCTCAAGGGACTGGGGATGTGGTAACAACCAGTGGCCAGGTCTCTCGGATGCTGGTTTGTAAGAGACAGTGAGCTTTTCTTGTCTGGCGCCAAACTGTCTGTTAAAGCGCTGACTGCCCAAATCTCCCCGTGCTGTACTGGCTGTCTGTGCCACAAGGTTGCTGTTGCTGCGCCAGATCTTTTCAGAGCCCAGGAATTGTGCCAAAATCTACCAGGCCCTTTCTTCCTCCTCTGCTATAAAATGAGCTTTAAGCCTGGCCCGCTCTGCAGTCCCTGCCTGCTTCAAGGCCTCATCCACAGCGCCCGGGTCCAGCCTTCTTGCTGTCTTGGCAAACCTTGCAGAACCTCACAGAAGGTACCCTGCTGTGATTTGGCTCTTTGAACCCTCTGCCTTGGACTTCAGTCCTAGCTTTAGCAGTGCACCAGCAATACCAGCCGTCCTCTGTCCAGCACTGGGCCACCCACATCTTAGCCTGACTCTAGAAGCCTGGTAGAAGGTAGAAGTTTAGCTCCTTGTGTCGTCACTGGTAACTTCAGCCCAAACCAGCCTTATCTATAGCCCAGGAATTTGTCGAGTGCTTTGGATCTAGCAGGTTCAGCTGACGTGCGTCCCCCCGTCCTAGGTCCTGCCCTTGCTCGTAACCTAACCCTGACTGAGCAAGGCTGAGCGCTTCTCGTGTCCGGCACGGGGATATTGTAGAAGCAGGTATCTCTCCTTCTTGGTAACGCCAATTGTGTTGAGAATCTGATATTTTCTTCTGAGTTGTGTATCTTGTTTCTTCCCAGCCCGTAGTAACCAGCCAGCTCGGTACTGTCAACAACATCATACAGGTGAAGAAAACTGACTTTGAAGTGTTCGATGCTTTGATGGTGGACTCCCAGAAGTGTTCGGACATGTCTGGTATGAGCTTGCTGGTAATTTTATTTCACGCTTTTAAAATGTTAAAAATCTCATCTTTTTAATCTGGAGTTAAAGCTCTGGTACAGTTTAATCTCCAGTTCCGTCCGGGCCCGCGGACGTTTGCGGGAATCGCAGACGCGCACAGGAAGATCGTGGAATGTGTAAGGGAGGCAGCCTCTGGCAGAGCGACGCGGGTCGCTGGGAATCTGATCAGGAGGATGGCAGGGGTGCTTAACCCCTGTCTGCCCGTGCGATGTGGACTGGCTGGTTTCAGCCCACCCGCTGGGTCAGTCTCTGAGCATCGAACTGGCGCTGACAACCCGCGTGGCTCCTGGTTCCGTCTCCCTCTGATAAGGAGATGGGCTGAGGAGGCCGGAAGTTGCACAGTCAGAGGTAGAAATTAGGTGCATCTGAGTAGCGCTAACACAGGCTCGGGAATATAGCTCATCCTCGCAGGTCAGTGTAAATTATCTGCATCTTAGAATAGCGTAAAAGTGCTATTTTTGCCACAGGTTTCGTACCTCTCTTCTGTTACGCGAGAATAAGGTTTAGCTTGAGTCAGCTCCGAGGCCAGCCTCGCCGCCTGTAGGGATGGAGGCCGTGACTGAAGGAGTACCTTAAACCCTCCTTCACGAGACCCGCCCTTGGAATCTGAGGCGGAAGGTGCGCTCGCTTGGGTCGGCTCTGAGCAGCTTCCCTCTGGGCCTTTTTGGAGGAAGAGTGTGATTTGTGAGGCTTGGGCAGCGCAGGAAGCCTGGACGAGATTCCAGATGCCTCCCCCCACGTGCTGTGACAACCTTTCCTGGGATTGCTTTAGGCTTGGAAGAGCTTTTCTGTCACCCTGTCCCTGCGTGGGACTGACACCTGCCTTTCACATGGTGTTCCGTGGGTTCAGGGCTTCCCTCGGAGGTGGCCTTGTGCAGCAGCGTTGACTATTGCGGGATTGCTGGAGGAGTGCTGGGCAGGGATGGCAGAGAAGTTCTGGAGCGCAGTGGGGCCCTCAGAACTCCACCTCCCACATCTCAGAGCTCGTCGGAAGTCAGGCACATGCTGGGCATCTGAAACCCCTTCTGGGGCAGTGGCTGACCCCCGGGCACTCTGTCAGCTCCTGTACTTAGGTGCCGTTGGTTTCTTTTGGCTGCATGTTCCTGGGTGTGTGGTCGACTTAGAGTGCTGGTAAAAACGTGCTTATAAAGAGCAGATAATCCTACAGACTATCCAAGAATAAATATTTCACGTCTCTCTGGCAGAGTTGTCAAGTTCACCCCCAGGACCGTACCACCAGGAGCCCTACGTTTGTAAGGCCGAGGAGCGCTTTAAATCGCCACCCATTCTTCCCCCCCACCTGCTGCAGGTCATCCTGAATAAGGACACGGGCATTTCTGTGAGTAGCGGGTTTGTTTTGCTGAATAATGGCCCTGAGGGTGTGAGCAGCTGGGGAAAAAACCTGGGGACAGTTGGGACAGACAAGGAAAAACCTTAGTGCTGGTGAATCCCTCATTAGATACATCCAGATGGATCTCTCTGAAGTGAATTGATTCTTCTGCTTGACTCTAAAACTGAAAACTAGCTTGCTGTTTTACCCCTGGAAACCCTAATGTTCACACTGCAACACTTACTGAAATGCCGGGAGCACATGAGAAACAACTGAGGTCGTTTCACGATGGCAGTGAGGGCGCAGAGGGGTTTTGGCCTGGAGGGATCTTGGACCGTTCAGAACCTTTGTCTCTGTTTGCTGTTGGATGCAGTGTGAGCAGCAGCGTGGGGTGTTCGGGGCTGTGGCTAGTTACAGATGGTGTTTATCACTGCTGGGTTCAGTCAGGGAAGAGTT